GTGATCTGTCTAATGATTTTGAATGGACCCACGTACCTGGGACTCAACTTCTTGCACGGAAGCCGAAGGCGAAGGTCTCTTGTGGAGAGCCAGACCCATTGTCCTGGGAGGTAAGCGGGACCTGACCTCCTGTGACGATCGGCCTGTTCCTTGACCCTGCGGATGGCGCGTTGAAGGTGCACATGAGCAACATTCCATGTCTCCTCACTTCGCTGGAGCCAGTCGTTGATAGCAGGGAGCTCGGAGGGTTCTCCGGAACAGGGAAACAGGGGTGGTTGGAAACCAAGTACACATTGAAAAGGCGTAAGGCCGGTGGATGGTTTGCGGAGAATTCTGTGCGTATTCCGCCCACAGGAGAAAGCGACTCCAGTCGCTCTGATTCTGATGGCAGTAGGCAAGCAGAAAGCGGGTCAATTCCTGGTTTAATCTTTCGACCTGGCCACTCGACTGTGGATGGTATCCAGAAGTGAGGCTGACGTTAATATTGAGGTGTTGGCAGAATGCCGTGGATTGAGTCGTTTGGCCGCTCTGAGGTACTCGAGGTTGCGATGATCAGTCAGAACAACAAAGGGAAGTTTGGCTCCCTCCAACCAGTGACGCCATTCCTCCAAGGCTGCCTTTATGGCTAGAAGTTCTCGATCTCCCACATCATAGTTTTGTTCCGTCGAGTTGAGTTTCCGAGAGTAGTAGGCACAGGGAAAGAATTTGGAAGGATTACACTGCCGCTGAGAGAGTATAGCTCCGATGCCCGTGTTGGAAGCATCCACCTCCACGAAGAACTCTACCTCAGGGTCAGGATGGTGAAGAATGGGCGCGGAGGTGAAGCGTTCCTTTAGTCGTTGAAAAGCCCTGGTGGTTGATGGTGACCAAAGAAGCCTACGCTTCCCTCCCCTTAGCATTGAGGTGAGAGGTGCTGCAATGGTGCTGAAGTCCCGAATTAAACTTCTATAGAAGTTAGCAAAGCCCAAGAAGCGCTGTAGTTCCTTTACCGTCATCGGTTGAGGCCAGTTGAGCACAGACTGTACCTTCCTGTTATCCATAGCTACCCCCTCAGCGCTAATGATGTAACCAAGAAAAGAGGTAACTGTCTGGTGGAACTCACATTTCTCCATCTTGGCATATAGCTGGTTGTCAATGAGCCTCTGAAGTACAGCCCGCACGTGCTGCACATGTGAGTCCAGGGTATCCGAATAGATCAAGATATCATCTATATAGACTATGACCCCCCGATTCAGCATGTCCCGGAAAACATTGTTAATGAAAGCTTGGAAAACTGAAGGACTGTTTACCAGGCCGAATGGCATGACGAGGTATTCATAGTGCCCTGACGTTGTTGAGAAAGCCGTCTTCCACTCGTCTCCCTCCCGAATGCGAATAAGATTGTAGGCGCTGCGAAGGTTGAGCTTGATGAAATATTTAGCAGTGCGGAGTTGTTCTAGAGCTGCTGGAACTAGAGGTAGAGGGTACCGGAATTTGACTGTCATCTCATTTAGACTGCGGTAATCAATGCATGGCCGGAGACCTCCCTCTATCTTTTTGACAAAGAAGAAACTAGCTGACGCAGGTGAGGTGGATGGTCTAATGAACCCCTTTGACAGCTCCTCCTCAATTAACACCTTCATGGCCTCGGACTCTGGCTGTGATAGTGGGAAAACTCTGCTTCTAAAGGGGTTTGATCCTGGAAGAAGATCCGATTCCGCATTCTTCTCTCTCGTTCCACATCGGTGAGGCGAGTGAAACCAATCTGCATGGGTTCCGATTCAACGGGAGCTGTGGCCGCTGGAGGATACACAGGAAATGGACGAGAAGGACGTCGTGCCCGCATCAGGTTATCTATGCGGATGGACAGCTCAATGAACTGTTCGAGGGACCTCCTCTCATCACGGCAGGCGAGCTCTGACTGTAGCTCGCCCGTCGTCTCAGGAAACAGTCAAATGATGGGAATGACAGCCGTCTCCCTTCCCAAGCAGCAGTGGCCCAGTCCAGCGCTCGTCCAGTTAACAGAGAGCAAACAAATGAAACCCGTCTATCGTCGGTGGGGTAGAACTGCGGTTGTTGATCTACAAACATGGAGCATTGTAATAAAAAGCCCTTACATCTTTCCGGTGAGCCGTCAAACTTCTCGGGGAAAGCCAGACGTGGGCTGGTCAACGAGTGACTGGGACTGGGAACCGCTTGAGACGGAACGGATGGAGGAATGCTCGGCTCAGGCATGGTGACGCGAAGGGCTTGTAGCGTCCTCACCATCTCCTCCGTGAGCGCGGTGAGTCGTTGCAGCTGTTGCTGATGAGACGCTAACATGGAGGCCTGGGCAGAAACCTCGGTGGTTAGCTGATAAATCGCTGCTGGTTCCGTGTGTGTCGAAGCCTTCTGTAACGATGAGTCAGAGGCGTGCAGATCCATTTGCAGCTTTTATTAGAATAACAGGCAGAGTAAAACAGGCAGTATTCAGTCAACAGCGTCACGTACAGCAGGGGTAATCCAAGAGAATAAACAGTGGCAGAGCGAGGGTCGGGGCAGGCGGCAGGGAATCACATTAGTAAGAACAGTCCGAGGTAATACACAAGAGACGACAAGATAGGGGATAAACGCTCAGAAATGTAGCCGGGGCAATACAAGACTTCGCAAACATAGAGAGTCTGGGAGCTGCTTAAATAGGGAAGCTAAGGGGGAACACCTGTGCCGTAATCAGTCCCAGGTACGGGGTGTCAGGGAAATGTAGTCCATGAACGTTAGTACTCGGGAGAGGGTGCCCTCCGGAGGCCGTCGGAGAGAGCCACAGAGGCCTGATTCGTGACAGTAGTATTCTACCCAGAACAGAGCCAAACAGTAGTACGCTACATTGTTTTCACATGAACTCAATATTATCATCTTGGAAATAAAAATAGCATTTTTGTTTTTTATCAATTTTAGGAAATATTTGCCAGACTGATGAAATAAAGAGGCAAAAAGAGACACATTGGGAATGCAAGGTCAAGCACATTGTATTGTGGGATTCAATATTCTGTGCAGCGTGCATATATATATATTGTGGAATCTGTAGCCGGACGGTGTTTTCAAATGTTTATTTATTTCTGTGTACATAAGGAAAAATATTGCACCATTATCAATGCTTGTTTTTAATGTTGAATGAACACTGCATGTAGTCATATCAAAACATTTCTTATACTGACACTTCTCAATGCATTTCATATTAAACTACAGCTGAGATCACAATTGAGCAACAGCACACACCACACCGGTCCATCTGTCATGATCTTAAAGTCGCTCTTGCTTTGTCCAAGATGTCCTTCCTGATGCGTGGATAGTTGGGATGTGCATCCAAAACCTGAGAGTGTGAGAAAAGAAAGAAAAAAAATGCAACAGGATAAAAAGCTATTAGCTATTATATTTTTAGTTAAGTTCTAAATACAATAATTTAAATGAAAATTATATCATAATAATTTAAAGATGATACAAATATAAAACTACAGTGTAATTGATTTTAAATATAAAATTTATTTTTCATTTATTGCCAAATATATAGATTTTGGCAATTAACCTTATAAATAAATGAAGTTGAAATATCCCTCAATAGTTCAAGGTAGGTCTGTCTTAAAAGGTTTACATTTTTTTTGTAAAAAATAATTTTTCTATGAAAAAAAAATTAATGGGATTTTGCTTCTGGATTCTTTTGGTCTCACTAAAATATTTACTAATTTAGATGTTTAGGTTTTCTTGCGTACTCACTTTATGGCACACATCTATAGCATCCACGTGTCTCTTGGCCTTCAGGTAATTGAACGCGAGCTTGTAGCCTGGTAAACAAACAGCATGCTGATGTCAATGAGAGATGTGAACACACACATGAGAACAGTACAGAGCGTCAGAGAGGCTTTAATCTTACCGATAGTGGGGTTGGTTTGATTGCTGTATTTCCAGGCCATTTCATAATTCAAGGCAGCATCTCTGAAGGACTGCTCCTTCTCCATAATGTAGCCCATGTACTCGTACGCCTTGCAGCAGGACTGTTATAAAACACGTTAAGACGTCAGTCTGTAAGTGTTTTTAATATTTAGATTATTCTGAAAAGTCAAATGAAAGGTTTGCAAGCAAGCTGTGATGTTTTAGGGTTTCAGCACACGTTTGGTTTTTGTCCATCAAGTTGCAAATAAAAAGAGAAAATAAATGTGCTGAAGATTTAATTCACTGGATCAAATTAAAAGAGCCATTTTCCCCTGTAGTCACAAATTTTATCTCTTAAAACTCATGTTTGATAATCAAAATGACATTTACACATTTTTTTCCCTTTGAAAAAATAATTTCTTCATGCATTAAAATGGCTTGAATATAACTCTACACCCTCATTTAGTATATGCAGATTCATTCATGAATATGCAGATTATTCCCCCCGTCTACTCAATCATCTCCGACTACCTGCTCCACTGTGTCTCGGTTAACTGAAGTAGTGAATGTACATAACAGCAAGTGCCAAAATTGGATTCATTCAGCCATATATGTTTGAACCAGAAACTGATTCCAAAGATGAGGAAAAGTGAATTATACAGGCTTGTCTACAAGTATCTGTATCAGAATGATAATGCATTTGATGTATCGATCTCTACAGTCTCGGACATGTAATCGGTAACCAGAGTTGGGTATAACGCGTTACACGGTAAAAGTAATCTAATTACTTTTTCTGGTAACTCAGTAATGTAATGCATTACATTTTAAATTTGTGTAATTTGATTACAGTAACTAAAGTCAATATAATTACGTTACTTATGTTACAAATGTAGTGTTAAGAAAAAAAAATATTATATGCCTTTTAAAATCACGTTTTGCGAGCCAGCGTCAGTTAACCCTCGGAGGCGCTGGCGTGATCACTTGCATTTTTTCCTGATAACAGCAAAAATAACTTAAAATGCTCCGCCATTTTTGATCGTACATATAAGTGTAATACATCATTTGAATCTGTGAAGGGTCTATTTTTATTTGTGCGCACTCACACAATATCAACAAAAAGATTGTGCTTTTGTAATACAAAGAAAACAAACGGGGTGCGCTTTCTGCCGTCTCAGTCTCTGCGAACATCTTTCTGAATGACGTCGGATGCTTTTTCTGCACAGAGTTGCTTTTTTTTCAACTTCAGGAGCTCAGAGCGCTCCTGCAAAAACGTGAGGCGCACAGGGCGCATAAACAGCGCGCAGAAAGCTCACTGCCAACCGAAAACAATTCAAAAAGCTGCCTCTTACTGCAAAAAACGCGTTCTGTGTGATCGCTTAGGCAGGTTTATACTAAGAATGTTAAGTTTTAGAAATGGATTCAATCTTTAAGTTTAAAGGAGAAAATGCTCAGCAATGGTGTTGACGGATGCATCTGCACATGGTTGTTCTTTAAGCACATTTAAAACACCAGATGGACATGTAAACAATGTTAAAGTACAATGTACTTGATTTTCACCACAGGTGATTTTTAAAAACAGGGTAGGTGATTTGGTTCAGAATTTTTTTTTGTTATGCTGGTTGAAAGTCTCTTCACATCCCAATAGCAATCACTAAGTTAAGTTCTCTAAATGTGTTTGTATTAATATCGTCTGTGGAAGGCATAGGACCATAAAATGTTTGTCCAATCATATTCCTCGGTCCGAGGGCTATGATAGGGTGTCCTACCTGCCTGTCAACGTATGTATTTGCATACCTCCATGCACCCTGTTCGCTCAGACGTGATCCGTCATCAGTGCATTCCATTGCAGACCGAGCGAGAATGGAAGGTGTTATTATTGTAATATCGTGCGCTTTGTACTGTAAAGTTTTCTCACTGGTGAACGAGACATGAGGTAATCTGACAGAGTTGAATTCAACCCTCTACCAACACCGTCTCTTGTCGTGTTTTGGAGGAAGCGTGGCTTTGGAGAGTGATTTGCAGGGAGGGTGAGATCTTATGCTCTCAAAGCTTGCTTGCTATTGCTAACCTCTCCGAAATCGCCTACCCTACATTTAAATATACTAATCTTTTACTATTTTTTTCAGCTGAATTTTCAGCAGAAATTGTGATATATAATGTGGCTGAATGAATTCAGCATCACCTTGTTGTGTCGCAGGCATCTCTTTAGCAGCTCTCCTGCCATGTCATATTTTCCCGACTGGATGTAGATGTCAGCCAGGAGCAGCCAGCTCTTTTCAAACTCATCTGCATCAATGATGTTCCAGTTCATCTTGGCGATGCGTTTGAGCTGGTTTCGGGCTCGAGGGGTTTGCTTCAGGATCATGTAGGCAGTGGCCATGGCCAGCAGCGCAGGAACATGATCTTTCTGTACAGAACAAACAAGACTTTCAGGTGTAGTTGAGTAAATGCCGTCGTGAAGCATGAAAGAAGAGGATTCAACAAACTGTAAGGTTTAGTGTAAGTGATACTGAAGTGGAGATTTCTGGAGAAAAAAAACCATGTTGAGAAATGGCTTTTAAATATATGTATTATAATTGAAATCTAGAGGCACAAATAGATAAAGTATAATACAATAAACACTTAAATGGGTATTTTGGATGTTTTCTTTATACTAGCCTGAAAAAAGAAAAACATTTTTTTTTTTAAAAGAACAGCATTTATTTGAAATAGAAATGATTATAAATGTCTTTACTGTCACTTTTGATCAATTTAATGCATCCTTGCTAAATAAAAATTCTGAATGCTATTCTAAGTTTGTCTTGAAGGAGTGATTCAGGCGTATATAAAAGCAGTGTGCATGTGTGGGTGTGTGTATATTTAACATATCCGTCATGTGATGTCCACACACCTCACTGTTTGCAATCTCAATGAACACGTTGAGGGCTCTTTCCACGTTGGCTTTCTGTTTGGTGGCCAGATAACAGTAGTTCTCCAGGATGCGCAGCTGTACATGTCCCGCTGAGGTTTGTGGCTTCAGCTCCTTTAAGAGCTTCTCCGCTGTTCTCACGGCCAGCTGCTCCGACTCCTGCTTCTCTGTAGAGTTTCTGAACACAAACAAATGAAATGCATCATTTGTGAAAGTGCATGTGTGCAATAAAACTCAGCTTATACAGAATAAAAGACAATAATGGCAGAATTAGTGAAATTAGCTGTTCAGGATGCATCTTGGGAATAGTGTAAAGGGATTAGGACGCACCCCATGTCTCCGTCCAGGTTCTCAAACACCTCTCCTCCTATGGTCTCATTGTCAGGGTTGAGACAAATCTCAATCATGTTGTACACTGCGTTCTGGCCCCAGTCGTTGTCCTTCCTGGCTTTGTTAAAGTGACGTAACCCATCGTTAGGTTCACCAGTGTACCTTTGAGAAGCAGATCAACATTCATGTCCTTATTGCATTCAATTCAGCAATCAAAAGCTATGACTGTCATTCATTTATCATATATGCATCACAATCAATATTATTACAATTTCAAGCAACTGTTTTCTATTTGAATATACTTTTAAACTATTAAAATGATCCTTCAGAAACCATTCTAATATGCTTATTTGTTGCTCAAGAAATATTTATTATTATCAATATTTAAAACAGTTGTACTGCTTAATATTTTTGTGGATACCGTGATACATTTTTTAGGATTCTTTGTTACTTGGAAAGTTTAAAGGAACAGCATTTATTAGAAATATAATGTTTTGTAAATGTCACTTTTGATAAATGTAATGCATATTTGCTGAATAAAAGTATTAATCCCTTTTAAACTATTAAAATGATCCTTCAGAAACCATTCTAATATGCTTATTTGTTGCTCAAGAAATATTGATTATTATCAATATTTAAAACAGTTGTACTGCTTAATATTTTTGTGGATACCGTGATACATTTTTTAGGATTCTTTGTTATATATATAATGGCCTAATTCATGACCAGCACAAAATATATAGTATGCTGATATGCAAACTGATACATTTATTGTAACAATGTAAGTCTTTACTGTCACTTTTTAACAATTTAATGCGTCCTTCTGAATAAAAATATTAATTTCTTTGAAAAATGTATATATTACTGACCCCTTTGTTATAAAATATTTACTAAGCCCTGAGAGTTTAAGTTAATTTCAATACTTTAACAACATTCACATGTTCACAGTTCTCTGATGACAGTTAATGGTCACATGACATGAAGGTATGCAAATAAAATATTTAACTTTTCTATGAAGTGTTTAATTTTGGGAGTAAAATTTAAATTAATAAATACATACATGCATACATACATACATACATACATACATACATACATATATATATATATATATATATATTTAAGCTTTTATTAACCAATAAACCCCCAGGGATTCACAATCCCCAGTTTGGGAAACCCTAGATTACCATCATAAAGTATAACCCTCTATTTCATATTTTATAATCTTACCACAGGTAGAGCCCTTTGCAGTAGTTGTATCCAGGCTCAAACTTGGCCCTTGATGAGTGTTTCTCTGCCATCTCGAGGAATCTTGGAACCTCCTCCAGTTTGCCGGCTCTGCGCAGCAGATCAATGAGGCGGGACAGCGTCGGGTAGTTGTCTAGGGCAAGAGATTAAATGAGTTCATTACAGCTTCCTGGTTGCTTAGGTTTCCCCTGCGGTTCATACGAGTATCTGGAAGGAAAGCGGAGGGGGCTGCTGCAACAACGGCGTAACCGTTTGAAAGGTCAGGAGATGAACGACACACCTGGTTTCCTCTCCAAGAGCTGCTGGAAGTGAAACACAGCCTGTTCATAGTCCTGCTTCCGGAACATAAGGTCTGCCATCATCTAACAACAAACACAGAGACGATTACCAAATTTCTGCCTAGCAAAGCTATAAGAACAAATTGGAAAATTATAAGCTGTGAGAGAATATGTAAGTTCTAGTGTAAAAATAATGTAACATAATTGACTTGAAAGTTTATATGCTACTGCTAAAAATACATTTCTATGAAGAAAATGAATGAGAATTTTCATTCTAGAACTGTTGCACTCTACACACTCGAGATGTTTTTCCCGCATCCAGATTCATCTGATTGGTTCATTGCTGTGAGGTTAAGAGAGAGGAGTATCTGATTAAGAGAAACTGACCAGTGTAGCCGACTCGTTGACCGGATCGTTCTTCAGAATGGCACTGCACTGCTGCTGACAGGCCTCGACATCATCCAGAGTAAGATACAGCTGAGCCAGTTCCAACATCACCTGATTAAACACACAAACACACACATTTACATCCACAGCTGTTCACAGGAGACACTGAAAGTCTGCTGCTTTAGAAAAGAATCATTATATTCTGTTTAAAAGTTTCACATGTTTATTTGCATAAATGCTTGCATTTATTAAAAATGATGTTCAATTTATTAACTTAAATAAATCACCAAAAATAAATAAATAAATAAAGAACAGCAAAAAAGTATTCGCTGCAAGGAAAATGTCCTTGAGGCTTTCTGGGAAGAAGTGTAGGCTCATACTGCTGACATTAACTGCATAACAGTGTGCTACCTATTACACTTTACCAGTCACATTCGACTGAATTAATGTTTCTCATGATCTTCAAAATCTTTTAAAAATACTACTTAAAATTCTACTTTTACATTTATGCATTTACCACATGCTTTTAAGTCACTTTGGATAAAAGCATCTGCTAAATGCATAAATGCAAATGCACTTGAATGATTATAATTAGCTTTGTTGACAAATGTAAATTGTGCTTAAGCGTGAATTAAAAAAATAAATAATAGAAAACAAATTATTATTTATATATATATATATACACACACACTGGTATATATATATTCCATTATATGTTTACTATTTTAATATGGTCTATGGAGAGACTGATCTGTGATGGCAATCAAATGCAGGCCTGTGGCGTGTTCAAATGCAGCACCACACACACAAACTGACTGATGCTCCAGACTCGGCCGGACCGATCCAGCTGCAGAAGAACACACTGGACTCACTGATCCGGGCCACACTGACCTTGCTGTCACTTTCACAGTACACAAGCGCCTCTTTGTAGAACTTGACGGCTCGTTCGTAGCCACGCTGGCTGCTGCAGTGCTTGGCGATTTCAGCGCAGATCTCTGCGGCGAGCTGCTTCTGCGCGGGCACCGAGTCGGGCTGCTCCAGCTGAGCGCGCTTCAGCACCTTCGCCTGCACATCTCTCGCCTGAGGAGGAACAACAATTCAAACAAGCGCTCTGGGCAAGAAATTAAAGGAACATTTGAAAACACCTTGACAATTACAATTCTGTCAGTATTTTGTCAAAGTATGTTTAGTTATATACTTGAAAACATACTTGTATAGTACATGAAATATAATTTATAATTTATATATAATTTAGGAGGTTGTGAATGTAAATTGGTCTTATGGGTTGAGGTGACCTGTTGAAAGCTTTCAGAGTCGTATTATTTATTTACTACTATAGATTTTATTAACATTTTGAATTTGCTTTTATTTTTATATTTCAAGTTTTCTTTTTAGTTTACATTCTAGTAATTTTGTGATTTTCTGTTTTGTTTCATTTTTCTATTCACATATCTAAATAGATTCAATTTATTTATATTTTTATATATATTTTATATTTCTTTAGTTTTAGTAATTCAGTAAGTTTATAAGATATTACTTTTAGACACAAATATTACCTTTTAAATACTGTATTTATAATATAATATATTATAATATAATAATTTTTATCAGAATTAAACACATTTTCCTCCATATTCTCTTCATCATAAATGCAACAACAATAATAGAATAAAATAAAAATTGGTACACAAAAAAATTAAAAAAAAAATTTATTTTCTGTTTTAGTTGTAGTAATTTTAGCACTTAAACTTATTATTCATTTAAGTTACTTGTCAAGACAACATTTCTAAAAGTTTTTCATCTAATTTCAGGCTTATTTCAATTACTGAAAATATTTTTAAATCATTTTCGTTAACAATAACTGCACTGTTTCAGAGAAAAAGACACTCGACTCACTCTCTGTAAGGACAGTAATGCTTCGTCATCTTTATTGACTTTGCTCTGGACTTTTGCGAGAAGCACAAGATAGCGACAGTCTTCGGTAAGAAGCGGCAGCTCATTTACTGAAAAATAAAGACAGAAAGACACCACTGATCACTATTGAAGAGATGCAACTGCTTTGTGCATTACACAAAAATTGTATTTTAAATTACATTAAGCTGAACCAGCTTCCATACATCAATTAAAAGTGCACCCCCATGTTCTCCCATGACACATGAATTAATCCTGAATTCATTTGTCAATCATGTAACAAGTTGCATTTCTAAGGTGTAGTAAATATAAGAATTAAAGTAGAAATTAATAAAAATTTTAAAAACCTTAATGGAATTTAAATTACATTTCCAGTCAGATAAGGATTCACTGTTTACACTGTGTAATAAATATTTGCATGGGGATAGAGGCAGACATCTTATAAAAAAGAAATACATGTTTGAGTTTCTAAACAAGGATCTTTGCTAACTGCGACATTCAAACACAAATGTAAACATAAGAATAAACAACTAGAATTCTCTCAGAATTAAAGTAGAAATTAATAAAAATTTTAAAAACCTTAATGGAACCCTTTAAAAAAGGGTTCCGGAATTTAAATTACATTTCCAGTCAGATAAGGATTCACTGTTTACACTGTGTAATAAATATTTGCATGGGGATAGAGGCAGACATCTTATAAAAAAGAAATACATGTTTGAGTTTCTAAACAAGGATCTTTGCTAACTGCGACATTCAAACACAAATGTCAACATAAGAATAAACAACTAGAATTCTCTCCCACCTCCTGAACGTTTATGTAGGCATCGCCGAGTAACAGGAAGGTATGAGGGCTCGGCAATTTGTCCACCAAATCCCTGATGAGAACACAGATACTTTAATGTTCTGCATGAACACGAGTGTTTGATGATTGTTTATTAAAGTACAGGTTCAGCATTCCATTCTGCTCTCTTAAGTAACATACTTTAGAACAAAAAAGAAAAGAAAAAAAAGTTTTTACAATGTAATGATATTGAAAAAAAAAAAAGAGACCATTAAGATATTTTGCATGGTGACAATTAAGCACATTTTCTCCCAAATTAATTAATTAAATAAATAAATAAATATTCAGATTTAAAATCACTGTATTATAGTAATTTACTGTAATACAATAAATGCAAAAAAATATGTAATATAGTAACTACGTATTATTATTATGTATTTAAGTATTAAATTTTATGTATTTAAGTTTACTATCAAATATATTGTTTTCTCTCTTTTGATTTTACGGTGAATATGACCTGGACATGAATTTACGATATTCACCCATATACTGTGAAAACCATATTCTATAAGTTATAATACATGTAGTAAATATGAGGAGCAAGTTTGACTCTCTCCCACCTCCTGAACGTTTATGTAGGCATCGCCGAGTAACAGGAAGGTATGAGGGCTCGGCAATTTGTCCACCAAATCCCTGATGAGAACACAGATACTTTAATGTTCTGCATGAACACGAGTGTTTGATGATTGTTTATTAAAGTACAGGTTCAGCATTCCATTCTGCTCTCTTAAGTAACATACTTTAGAAAAAAAAAGAAAAGAAAAAAAAAGTTTTTACAATGTAATGATATTGAGAAAAAAAAAAAGAGACCATTAAGATATTTTGCATGGTGACAATTAAGCACATTTTCTCCCAAATTAATTAATTAAATAAATAAATAAATATTCAGATTTAAAATCACTGTATTATAGTAATTTACTTTAATACAATAAATGCAAAAAAATATGTAATATAGTAATTACGTATTATTATTATGTATTTAAGTATTTAATTTTATGTATTTAAGTTTACTATCAAATATATTGTTTTCTTTCTTTTGATTTTACGGTGAATATGACCTGGACATGAATTTACGATATTCACCCATATACTGTGAAAACCATATTCTATAAGTTATAATACATGTAGTAAATATGAGGAGCAAGTTTGACAAATTAAAATGCATTACCTATAGCAGCTCACATAAAGCCGTTTCTCTTTCCTGTGGTTCAGGTAGATTTCTGCCATTTTTTCTTTGGCCTGTATGTAGTAGGGCTGCTCTGGTGTGATGTTTCTGAGCATGCTCAGTGCCAGCTCTGTATCTCCGCGCATGAGCGCGAGGTCTGCATTGGCGATAGTGACTCGAAGCTCCTCTGGAGTGCCCGTAAACTCATTTATGGCATCCTGCATCACTTTAGCTGCCTCGTGCTGGAAGTCAAGAAAAACTTTTATCCCCAAAAACAAAGCATTAGCAAAATAATGTTAATTTTACAACAATACATAAGACTACAGGCTACAACAACATGAATAAACCAAACATTATTATTAAAAAGTGCATATTTATTGAAGGTATAATTCACCTAAAAATGAAAATTTGCTAAGATTTTACTCACCCTCAGGCCAGCCAAGATGCAGATGAGTTTGTTTCTTTATCAGAACCGATTTGGAGAAATTCGGCATTCCATCACTTGCTCACCAATGGATCTTCTGCAGTGAATGGGTGCCGTCAGAATAAGAGTCCAAACAGCTGATAAAAACATCACAATAATCCACAAGTAATCCACACCACTCCAGTCCATCAGTTAACATCTTGTGAAATGAACTGTGTGTTTGAAATAAACAAATCCATCAATATGTTTTTAACATTCAAACGATTGCTTCCAGTTAATATATAAGTCCTCTAGCCATAAAGTTGCTTTCCCCAGGGATAAAGTCATCTTGTCTGAATCAGGCGAGAAATCTGCACAGATCAAGCTACATTTACAACCAAAACGGTCCAAAACAGTTGTAAATACGTGGGTGGATTTTGATGTGAGAGAACAACAAGAGATGGACTTTTTCACTGGAGGAAGCGTTATTAATGATTATGGACTCTTATTTTAGCAAGAAGTGACAGTTCAAAGTTAAAATGTCTCTATAATGGACTTGTTTCTTACAAACACAGTTTTTGGCTTCACACAACATTTACTGATAGACTGGAGTGGTGTGGATTATTGTGATGTTTTTATCAGCTGTTTGGACTCTCATTCTGGCGGCACCCATTCACTGCAGAGGATTCATTGGTGAGCAAGTCATGTAATGCTACATTTCAAACAAACTCATCTACATCTTGGATGGCCTGAGGTTGAGTACATTTTCAGCAAATTTTTATTTTTGGGTGAACTATTCCTTTAAGGAAATGAAGAAATGTTTGAAAAACTTAACCACTAACCTGTTCTCCATTGAGCCACAGAGCTTCAGCTAGCTCCAGGAACACAGATACGCAGTCGGCCGAGCTGAGCTCAACTCTCTTACTCTGTCTTTTGGTTGAGGAGCCCGTTCTCTTCACAGCACACAGACTCATGGCCATCTGCAGCGTCTGAATGGCCTCCTGAAGCTGCCCCAACTTCCTTTGAGCCTGAGCTTTTATCAGGTGATACAGAGGATGCTCGCGGATCTGACCACAAATAAACCACATATTCAGTCCCATCAAATCAATAAATTTCAACTGGTTTCCTTCTGCAGTTCAGTGTGGCTGGCAGTGATGTTGTGTCACCTCAAAGTTGTGGCTGAGGCAGAGTTCCAGAGATTGGGAGGAGAGCTTGAAGTTGCCCTGCATGAGATGGATCTGAGCCATGAGGAGATGGGCATCAGCATGGGCCGGGTTCTGATCCAAACAGTGCTGCAGGCTGCTCTGGGCCGCCTCGATATCTCCTGTAGGACAACATATGAAGAGAGCACAAACTTGACTAATTGGGTGAATTGGCGGAAAAATAAGAAAAAACTTTTTGCATAAAGAAACATAATTACGTTTATTTTTAAGACAATTTTTGCATTGTAACATTATTATTTGCATGACAAAATTATTATATTTTTTTTTTACAATATTTTTACTTCCCAAAATTCTCAAAATATTTTTTTTTATTTAAATGAACATTTAAGACAGTACAACAAATGTTGTATAAAATATTTTGCAATTTAAACAATAAATGATTTTTTTTCGCATTACAGTAATGATCTTTTTATTTTTATTTTTTTGGCTTTATGATAATGAGACTTTTGGGGACGTTTGTACGGTGGCCAAGAAGTGCAGAACAAATCACAATTCTGAAAACAAAATAACAAATTGCAAACGCAAATGCAAGTCTAAAAAACAAAATAACAATTCAGAAAGCACAACAACAATTCAGAAAACATTATAACAAGTCAGAAAACACAATGACAAATCAGTAGGGCTGGGTGGATCGATCCTTAAGTATCGATACTTTCGATACTGATGTTGGATCGATCCTCACATAAAAATATCGATTCTAAAGTGCATTTTTTTAAACATTAATTTTATTTACTTATCAAGAAATTCGGTGCATAAAATAAGCTTCTAAGTGGAAAAATAGACTATATAAGCGAATAATTGTGTTGGATAGAACCATTTCTCCTGCTCATTGGAACACACGCAAATGCTGAAAGACAGAAGCAATCGATCACAGACAGCGTTCGCTGCTGACACATGGCTCAGAGTGCTTGTTCAAATAGGGTTGCGTTTCCCAAAAGCATCAGAAGCATAAGTAGATCTTAAGAAACCATTGCCACATTATTACATTACATTACATTGTTACTATATATAAAATTAATTCTTAAAAATGCATCACGGTTTCCACACAAATATGAAGAATAAGTGCAGCCTTGGTGAGCATGAGACTTAAAAAAAATATTACAAAATCTTACTGACCCCAAACTTTTGTGTACATGTAATATTTATTTTAAATTGGCTAGTTTGTGCAAGTAAATTTATTTAAACTGCTTGTTAAAAGTTCAAATGGATTGTGTTATGTTCTGTAATTGCTGTTAATAAATCTGTCAGAAAAATAATATGCTAAAGTTTCACCTTTAGGGGTACAACAGCCTGGGAGCCTTTTACAAAAATTAACCATGGTTTTATTACAGTAACCACAGTTTACCACAGTATTTGTAGTAAAACTGCAGTAACCACAAATTTACCATTATAATAATAATACTACATTTTAGTACTTATGTAACACCATGTTTATTTTTTATGAGGTATCCTCAAAGGTGCACCTTTGTAACTTATCTACCCTTAAAACATGCATACTTGTATGGTACTAATATGCTCACTTTTAGGGGTATAGTTGCACCTTTGAGGTTACTGCCCCAGTAAAGGGCTGAAATATACAATTATAGTATATTTTATTTCTAAAAGTGTAAACAAAAAAGGCATATGAAATGTTAAAAAAAACATGGCTTTAAAAGCTAATATTAAGTGAGTATAATTACTGATTATATATTTTTTCAATAATTGAAAAGATCAGTTTAGTTTAGAAGTATCGGTATCGGTATCGATAACGACGATACTGGGCTTGAAAATATCGGTATCGGATCGAAAATAAAATAAGAGGTATCGCCCATCTCTAGTTCTTCCCTGTATACGTTGATTGACAGATGTCTCGTCCAGTCAGTGGTGAGCAATCCCAAACCAATGGCGCTCTCTCAAACTATACCTACCTCTTCCGGTTTGTCTGATTTGTCGTTGTGTTTTCTGACTTGTTCGTTTGTTTTCGGATTTGTCATTGTGTTTTCTGACTTGTTCGTTTGTTTTCGGATTTGTCATTGTGTTTTCTGACTTGTTATAATGTTTTTTGAATTGTTGTTGTGCTTTCTGAATTGTTATTTTGTTTTTTAGACTTGCATTTGCATTTGTAATTTGTTATTTTGTTTTCAGAATTGTGATTTGTTCTGCACTTCTCGGCCACCGTATGTTTGCTTATTTGTTATGAAATAATAATGCCACAGTGCAAAGAACGGTTCATTTACATTTGGTAAAATATAGTTTCTTATTTGTTTTCCCTTTGATTTTGGGGTGAAATATTACCTTATTATACAGTAGTTAACTAAAATTAAACTAAAAGTATTAAAAAATTCTGTTACTTGAAATAAACGTTAACTGAAATAAAATAAAATTTCTCATTTAGTACTAAAACAACTAAAACTGAAATAAAAACTATATAGACATTAGAAAAGACAATAACTAATAAAAACTACTAAAAAACATACTAAAAAATACTAAAAAACTAAAACTTTATCTAAAATTAAAAAGAAAACAGAAAATTAAAAAAAATAAAAACTAATTCAAAATATTAATAAAAAACCTATAATAGTTTGATACTGAAATAACACCGCCTGTAAGTGAAAAGTTTGAAAGATTCACCAAATTAGATCAATCCAACAATGTTATGACGTTTGATTCTCGAGTAAAATAAATAAAAAGGTACCAATAAAATCTAACTTTTCGGAAAATATCACTCAGACATGCACACACCTGACTGAAATCGGACTTTGGCCATTAGAAATACGGCCTGCATCAGTCCAGGCACTACTTTGACCACCGTGTCCAGCACAGATGCACAGTGCTGCAGCTGAGGCGCAGGAGGCTGACCAGGAGCTGGAGCCTGCAGCGAGAACAACATCAGCCAATAAACTACACGAGCAATCTTCATCAAGACAGACTCAGAATCAAGGCTGGACAAAAACAGTTGCTAGGATGTTGTTAAGCAGCATACAGTGTGTTCTGATTGTTTGCAAGGCAGCGCATGGGAGGGAAGACCTTAGCAGGAGACAGCGCCAGGTATTCCTTGGCAATCTCAAGCAGGAAGTCGGGGTTGAGCTTCTCAAAGTACTCGACGCTGAGAGGCAAACCCTGCAGGGCGGAAAAGTGCGTGTCCACCGTGTCGTTTAACAGATTGGTCGCCTCGTCTGGGGGCCGACATTTTTTCACAGCCAACAGCGCCCGCAGATACAACAGCTCCTAACACACGCAAACACACACAGGTTAAGCAAACCTTAAATATGATTCTGTTTATCGTGTGCTTTAATACTAGGTCATCTACTAATTAATCTGGTCACTAATGCAGTTGAATTCCTCAGGCAAAGCTCAAAATAAAATAAAAAAAACTGGATTTTTGAAGGGTTTTGTTTTGATTATATTTCTGTTCCTCTACAAATACAACGTGGCAGCTTCTTTTTGCAAAGCAGATGTGCGTGTTTGTTTAAGTGTGTGCTAAACACCCAGACGAGAGTCTCTGTTTGTGTAAACAGGCCCTGTTACGCACTGTGGATGACTCAATGGGTAAACACAGCATAAGTGTATTAATAAACCAGGTTGCTGTTGAATATGAATCAAAACATTTTGAAAACGTTTATTTTTTATTTAATTCTGTGGAAATATTCTGGAAAGAGTCTCTGTGTAACATTGTTCAAAGCTCACACATTTTTTTTTTTAAGTATCATAGTAAGTAATTTAAAGGGGTCATATGATGTTGCTAAAAAGAACATTATTTTGTGTATTTGGTGTAATGCAATGTGTTTATGCAGTTTAAGGTTCAAAAAACACATTATTTTCCACATACTGTACATTATTGTTTCTCCTCTATGCCCCGCCTTTTTGAAACGCGTCAATTTTTACAAAGCTCATCGTTCTGAAAAGCGAGGTGTGCTCTGATTGGCCAGCTATCCAGTGCGTTGTGATTGGCCGAATACCTCAAGCGTGTGACGGAAATGTTACGCCCCTCACCATACTGTGATGCCCTGTCCCGGCGTGATGAGACAAAGCCAATAAAACCCATTACAAACGAGGCATTTGTTGCATCCAGTGGGGACATAATTACGGATAATAATGACTTATATTGTCTTTTTACGCGTTGCATCGCGACATGTAAACATAAAACCATGTCTGCATTTGTGATCGGAGAAATGACAAACAACAAGCCCTACTCTACACTGC